ACACACACACACACAAGCTTGTAACTGCTCACATTTCTCTTGTTTGTTTCCTTTACTCAGCAGTTGGTTAGATTTCATCAGTTAGTCTCAGTTGTTTGATCCAACTGGCAAAATAAAATGGCAACGAGATATAAATAAAAGAGCACTGATGCTTCTTTCTGAAAGATGACAGGTTTTCTGTAGACCCCACCCTCCATACTTCCCCCCTCTGTTCTGTCATCAGTCTTACAACCCCCCATCTGTACAACTTTCATAAGGTTACGAGTACATGTTTAGACTTGGCCCCTAAGGTAAACTGAACTACATTTGCACTGGTGTACATCATCACGCCACACCCCAAACACTTCAGTCCTGATCCCCGCAGCAGAGCAGTACTCCAGGCCAGACCAGGCCCGATTGTTTCTACGTGTCATGTGTTCAGTGGAGAATAACTTGACAGATTCTGAAGATGAATCGATACACTGATAACACAATGGAAGGCTGTCTACAGCGCCGAGTGATCACTTCCAGACATTGCTTTGGTTTCTGCCAGAAGAATCAGCAGAGGGGACTGGATTTTTTGATGTTGGATTGCTGAGTAGCTGAGGTTACTATCGGCTGGGCTTGTAGAAAAAACTCTATAAAGGAGTATTGTGTGCTGCAAGATAACGAATAATACAAGAATGTTTCAATGATGCAGATGATCAGAATAATGAATAAGAAAATATTCATTTTTATAAAGACTTTTATTCAATTTTGACAATAAGTTAAACAACTTTAATCTTTTTGTTTCATAAATCCATTCACACACATCTCAGAAAAATATTGCAGAGATGTTTTCAGGAGAGCAAATGAATGTTCCAATAAAGAAGAAAGAAAAACCTTTCAAGTAAAACAGAATATTGAACTTCATTCAAACAGAGTTCATATTGAATTCTGCGCTCTTGTTTTTCTGGTGTGCAAAATTCCAACAATAGATTTATTTTTTCACTGCGCATATATAAAACTTTAATTTAATTGAAATCAGGGTTGGAAAACTCCACTCCACTTGTCCTCCACCAAATATTGACTTAAATCTCTAATGCAGAAACATTGTTTGTTAAGCACCAGTAGTCATTTTGAGCAATGACAAGTTTTTACAGTATAAATGCTTTCAGTGACATTTGACCTGAAATACAAACACAACAGCCATCTGCGTGCTCGCAAAGCTGCCAGTGGGTATTAATGATGGTTACCATGACAATGATGAATCAGTATTGTAAAAATCTACAGTAAACTACAGTACCAATCATTTCTGATAGAATATTGGTTTTGAATGTAAAACTAAATGGTAAAAAATAACTGTAAAAGTGACAGCGTATTTTTCTTTTGTGTATCTAAAGTGTGAATTACTTTTGCCACATCCCTTTCCATTCTACACTCTGTTTGACAGAGATTCCTTTAATGCAATTATCAATCCTTTTAAAAGCAATTGCTTTGAAATAGAATTGCATCGGCAAAACATCTGGGGCACAACACGTCGGATGACAGAACAAAACAAACATGACAGGAAAAAAGCAAAGCAAAATTTACAGTATGATCTGAGAGTTCAAGGGTCGATGAAGGACACTGCAATGTAGCGGGTGCCGTTGGTGGTGGGCAGGCCTTCATGGAGGTGGGTCAGTCTTCCTGGGTGCATGAAGCTCCAGCCTTTCCGTGGTGAATTTATGGAACAGTTATACCGATGGAAACGGCAACCCCCACCCTAAAGCAAGAAAAGGAAGGTGAGAAAGTAACAAATGGTTAAGAAATTTAAAAACTGGATTAATAATTGTGAAATAAGTCACAGTTTGAAGAATATTAAGAAGATTATGCAAGTGATTTTGATTTGATTTTGATGACAACCAAATTTCTTTCATTCAGACGTTCCACATCAGCATGATTTATCTCCCTTAATACAAACTCCTTACTTGAAAGTCTGTGTCTTTGTTATTGAGAGCGATGTTGATGGTGAAGGTGGAGGAGTCGTGATGGGGCCTCAAGTACGCCTGCCTCTCAGGAGTGTATTTTACCACAAAATTCATTAAAGCGTAACCCTGATGAAGGTGCAGAAATACATCAAGTAAGCTGACAGTCAGCACATCTTTGAACTTATCATTCAATGGAAGAACTGTCACCACTGTTAAAACTCACATTTCATACTAAAAGAATGTCTCATGCTGTACATGTGAAAACAGGTTCCATGAAAAGAGAAAGTTTTAGCTTTTGGGCAAGGCAGGCAGGGTTCACTGTTTGTCTTTCTTTTACTTCTCCATGAGGTCATACTAACCTTAGTGTAGTAGCCAGAGAAAACTTTTAGCGTGACGGGCGATATGAACTCTCGGATAAAGTGTAGCCACTCTTTGTCAAAGCCGATTTGCTTCATATGAATGTCATCCGTCGGCACCGTCTCATAGCCTCCGGCGATCCGCTTGTCCTGAGCAAAAGGAGAGAAAATAAAACACATTGCAGTGTGATTAACGACGGAACACAGACCACCATCTCTTGTGGTTGGTAGTGTGGTTGACACGCTCTTCAAACATGCATGATGATGATGATGTCTCCGTGAGCGCGTGTGTGCATGTGTCTTTGAAACCGCAGGCTGTACTGTTGTCTGTCTGCATGAAGCTTAATGACCCATCCAGCTACAGCCTTTTCCCGAACAGAGTTAGTCAAAGTATCTGTGCACATTTAGTCTCCCAGGCAAACTTTTAGACACATTAATTACCAATTTCAAACTACATAAAACAGGCCACATGGATTAGACAGCTTAAACATAAAACACAACATCACAACCTTTATTTGGCTATATTTAAATGACAGACGTGGGGAGGATGGTAATAAAATTAGGCATGTGTGTACAAGTACCCTGAACACCCATCATGTGTCTGTGTGTGAGATTGTGCGTGTCCTATCAAATAGATGACAAAATTCAATAAAAAAAAAGTAGCTAAAGAAGAATATTAAACTTACTACTCCCCACATCTGGCTAATTTGACACCCCCCCCCCCCCAAAAGG